TTAGGGCACTTGGTCATAACTTTACAGAGCCCCCCATGATACCATGGCCACATGTCCAGGAAGGAGAAGGAAGAGAGAGTAATGGTCTTGGACCTCATAGCCATGAAAAGTTTGAGAAAGGGTAGAGGCCAAGAATCAGGGCCCATCCTGCACTGGGGGAAGGGGCTGCCTCAATGGGGAGATATGTAAGGCTCCTGGGGAAGTGAAGGATTGTGGATCCGGGAGACCTTGAGCTGGCATCGGAGCCATGCAGCTCCATCATGATTCCCAGGCAGGAGAGTTCAGGAGCAGAGGGGCCCAGGGCCTGTAGGGTGAGGATGCAGCCCAGTCATCCTTCCTAGCATAGGCTGCACAGCAGGGCACCCATACATATGGGTGCAGTGACACTGAGACACCCTGTGACCTCCACTGATAACCTGAAGATGCAAAAGGAGACTCAAAGGAGGAAGAATTGGTGGGTCACACATAGGCAGTGGCCAGAGCAGCGTTGCTTTAATGTTACCCAGGGAGGAGGCCTTCCTGAAAGGTCAAGGAGGGACAAAGCAGTTACTGCTGTGTGGGATTGAGCACTTTCCCCACAAAGAGTGGAATCTTGGTGCTTTCTTCCCTGATGAGGAGAAAGAAGGGCCTGTTGAACTTGATGATGGGAGCATTTGACCAGGCCCTGTCATCAAATTGAGGGGTCGATACAGTCTCTGTCTCTCTCTCATCGAGGGTCAGCATCGCCTTATGCACGACCTGGCAGAGAGGGGAGAGATGAAGAGGCTGGTGCTGAGGATGGGCCGTACCCACCACAGACCAGAGTCAAGTCCTGAGTGTGAAGTTCTTCTGGGGCACCCTCATGAGGACTTTTCTTCTCCTGGTGTTCATGTGCTGTCCACAGCCCCCTGCCCCATGTGGTCACACCAGAACTTTCCCCCTCTCAGTCTTTTCCTGGCCTTATCTGGTATCTTCTTCTTTACTGACCTCTAATCTCTCACATCCTCTCACATCGCACTCAGAGGGCAAGGTTATGTGGAGACCATACGGTCTCACAAATCTCCCCTTTCCCGTGTGCAGTGATGAGCTCTGGGAAAAAGGACTCTGCTGGTGGCCTTCTCAGTGATGGGACCTGACGGCTGCATAGCCCTTACTGACCTGTACCTGATCCTGGTCCCTTTAATTTCTCTAAGCAATAGGCCTCTTTGGCTAAACTCATAATTCGGACCTGGTATATCACTAATAGTTCTAAATTTCATAGATAAAAGATTCTGGAACATTCTTTGAAGTAAATATGGGACAGTTGATTCCCAAAGACCCAAAGGTTCCAATACAGATAATACTGAGGGTTAGTGAGGCCCTCTACAGTGGCAGCAGCACACGAAGCCCCTCCCTTTATTCCATCCTCTGGGTCCATCCCAACCCAATTAATTCTGTGTCCTGAGCATGAGCTCAGCCTGGACCTTGTCTGTGTCCCTTGATTCCTCACTCAGCCACATGCCCGTGCTGCTCCCCAAAGCTCATTCTTCTCTATGGACACTGAGGACAATGCTGCTGTCGGGTGACCTCACCGTGGAGAGCCTGATGGATGCCTCTCCTGTGACCCCTGAGAGGTCAGCTTCATCGCTGAAGATCTTGGTGATGCCCAGTGTGCTCAGGATGCTCCTCAGGTCGTAGGCTGCAGACATGGACAGTCTGGGGAAGTGTATCCTGGCAAATCTGGCAGGCAGGAGAGAAAAGGAAGGAAGCTCACAGCCCTCCTCATGGTCTGCTGGGGCCCACATGTGGCCTTTCTGGTTGTGTCTCTTCTTAGTGCCCTGCCCCCTCCCCTCCTGCCCCGCCCCAGAAGGAGAAGTTGCCCTGCTTTGTCCTCTTTACTTGGTGTGGAGAAAGTTAACTTCATGGGGACCATCCTGTCCCAACAGCCCCTGAGAAGCCACTTCCTTGAAGGTGTCATCAGGCAGATGCAAGGTGCCTGCCCCCCAGGAAGTGCATGGCATCCTGCCCTGTAGCCTGTGGTCACTTCTCACCCAGCCAGTGGCTCTCCTGGCCTGACCACCAGGGGAGCGTGGCTGAGTGCAGCAGGGGCTGAGTGGAAGCCATTAGTGAGAGGAGAAGAGCGCCCCCACCAGGTGAAAGACTGCGTTCTGGTTTCCTTGAGGAATAGGTGAGCTGAGGAGGCTTGCATGGAGGTAGCAGGTCCCACCCAGCCTGACCTTGCTTTTTTTGCAGCCCTCGAGGCCTGGGGAAAAGCACTAGTGACACTTCTATTCACAGTTCAGCTTCACACCTGTGTGCACTCTTACATTGTCCCATACGATGCATAGTTAAACAGTGTCTCTGGGTGTAGGCTCATTGCTGGTGCCAAAGGTGACTATGCTGTGGTGCAGGCTTGAGGACATCAGCTCCTGGGATCCAATAAACACCCTCAAAAAGTGACAGAAGAGCAGGAATTCCACAAACTGTCCAGCTTCCCAGGGTTCTCTGTGTCTCCTGTTCCAGGCCTTTTCATGCAGATTCCTGTACTCTACCCTCAGGGAAGCGTGGATGCCACACTAAGCTGCCAGCTCTGCCTGGAGGCCACCTTGTTTTTTATCCTGACACAGTTGCGCTACCCTCCTTGCTTCTGCCCCTGGGCACTGCTTGATGGGAGGGGCACTGTCCATGGTGGGAGGAGACCTCCCCAAGACCAGGCTCCGTGTCTGCTGTCCTCTGGTTACTGACCCTGATTTGATCCTGGCCATTGCTAATGGGCTTGAGAACTGCATCTGGATCGAAGCACAAGGTCGTTCCCAGGAGCTGTTACCCAAGGACTGTCGTTCACTTTGCTCAGCCCCAGCCAGTCCTGAAGGGTTTCTGTCTCTACATGGCTCAGAGACCCTAGGTGGGTTGCTGCTCTGAGACTCACCTTTTGTCAATGGTTCCAAGGAGATTATTAAAGTGCTCCTGGGTCAGGCCTTCCTCCAGCTGTCGCATCTTCCCTGGGTCGGGCAGGATGAAGAAGGCTATGACGTCACCCACAGAGTGCTGGACCAGCACCCAGCTGGACAGCTCTTCATCTCGGCCCAGGAAAAATGCACCAAGGCGCCTGATTATGGGCACACTGATGGTTGTGTCCTCATCTACATAAAAGTCCTCTTCTGCAGTGTATTCAGCCTGGAGCTGATCAGCCCATTTTCCTGGAGAGAGAAAGATAAGATGGGACCAAGGTTTAGGACAGTGTATGAGAGGAGGGAGCCCGAGTCCCTCCTGAGACTCTGCTCTCTGAGACTTACCTGGGTCCTCTGTAAAATGGGGTTACAAGACACGAATTTTCTGTAGGGTTTTTATGGAGATAATCTGAAGCAGGAGGAGGAATCACTTGTACTGAATTTGTATGTACTCGGGCACATTTGTGACAAGCTGGCTCCAAAGGAAAAGTGCCTGTATTTACATTTTATATTTAATTGCCTGATGACCGAGGATGCTAATGAAGTGACTGGGCAGAAGCAGAAGTCCCGAGGTCCCACCTGGGCTGTCTTTCCTGGAGGTTTCCTGTGCCCTACAGATGGGTCCTTCAGCCCCTGCTCAGGACCAACCCTCCCTCTGGTTTCTACCCTGGAGGGCTTCTCCTACATAGCCTGTGGGGTGCACAGGCCCAGGCCAGCCTCCTCTGCTGTACTCATGAGTCTCAGCTGTCAGCATGGGCAGGTGAGTGTGGGACTCTAGGCCCACCTTTCTCATTGGACAGAAAGAGAGAGGTCAAGGTGAGCCTGGAGAGGGCATAGGAACTGTCCCAAGGCACAGCAGAGCAGGGACCTCAGTTGTGCTGCCTGTGTCCCAGGTGCTCATCACTTCTGGACTCTGCCCAGGGAGGGGGGACAGGGAGGGCAGCAGGCTCTGCTTTGACTCCACTTCCTTCCCCAGGCTATTTCCTGGGGTTGTGGACTTAGCCATAGAACCCAGGCCCCTGGGGTCCTGGCCCTTCAGTCACTCAGAGGCAGGAGGGCAGGCTGAGGACCAAGGCTTGTTGCTCAGCTCTGTGTCCCTACGTGAATTTTTCAACACTTGATAACAAGGGCATGGATTGTACCCAGACCCATATATTATATATCTTATTAACCTTTCAAAACATAAAATTTTGTCTGTGATAAGAAAAGAAAATTCTATCTCTACAAAGTACAATGACTTGTTCAATATCAAGACTAATAAGTATTAGAGGAAGGATTTGAACTCGAGTCTTTCACACTCCAGAGCTTACATTCATCCATGACCTTAGAGTTTAAATTATGAAATATTATTCTTTCTACCATCTGTTCCAATTTGAATCTCTGATTCCCTAGTTAGGGAAACATTCTGTTTCCTATGCCCCTGTCTTACTAATATTTTCATTGTATATTAGGACAATAAATGTTCTGGCAAGTCCTACAGAGAAAATGGAGATGTGATTGGTATTAACTCATCACTCCCCATTTTTGTTGGTTCTCAGAAATTGATTCATTGTGTCTAGGTTGAATATTAAGAAGACAAAATGGGATGCCCTGTCCTGTTCTACACTGAACTATCAAGGAAAATATGAGCAGTTGGGCTTTGAGTGCATGTTAGACTATATCAGGGGAACCAGCTCAGGCTGGGGAACCCCTCCTTACCATGGAAGGAAATATAATTCACCAGGATGAGATCTGTGTCTTCCTCCAGATCTTTGACCAAATCCACTATTTCTCCATTGGTTTCCTTCTCCACATAATAGCTGATCTGTTTGCTGGCAAATCGTGTGTCTCTGAAGCTGATGGGGATGACCTCGGAGTGGTACAGCTCCTTGACGTCCTGCACAAACTGATCCATGAGCAACAGGTTGTCACTGATAAAGAGTCTGTTGCCCATGGTCAGCTGGAGCTGGTGGTCTGGATGCTGGAAGATGTGGTGGAGAAGCTGGAAGCACTGGTGCATGTGAGCTTCAGACATCTCTCTGAGGTTGAACTTCAGGCTGTCCAGGATCTGCATGTGAGTGTCCCCCTTAGTCCCCAGGGAGAGTATTGCAAAGGCAGCCATAATGCTCACTGGGGACAATAAGACATTAGTAGTTTCTGACCAACTGGCTGGCTCCTGGTACAAGTTAATGGTGAAGTCGATAACATTGTCAAAGATATTTTGGCAGACTAGGTATTCATGATGTTCATGGTCATGAACAGATCCATCCATTTCTTCAAGATCTTTGGCCTGGGAGCCAGGAACAACAGAGCACAAGCCAGCTAATATGAGGAGGCCTCTAGAGATAGAAGATGACATTGTCCTGCAAGACAGGGAAGGGAAGGTCAATGCTTCAGGTCCCATGACACGACTATGTCCATTGACCAATGATGGACATCATGTAAAAGCATCCTCAGTTCCCTAACCATCTTAATGTGCTCAGCCTGAATCTTGCACTTTTCACACCATCATCTGCTGTGACAAATCTAGTCTGTTTCCTCTGAAGCTCAGGTTGGAGTCCAATCCCCAGTGTGCAGTGTTAAGAGAATGGAAGGCTAATCTGGTAATGGTGTTTATACTCCTGTTTATATGGGAGACATTTGTGAGTGTTGTGTAGCTGTGGGTGTAACACAGGAGTACAGCACAGGCCTAGTCTTGCAAGATTCCTATTCTATTCCCAGGATGAAGAAAATCTTTACAATAATATAAGAACCTTTGGGAGAACTAAGTCATAAATATAGCTATCAAAGCTTATTCCCACGTATGATCTCATATGACTGCTTTTGGTGGAAACTGTGGAGGGAACTGCCAACTCCCAGCCTTCAAGACCACTGAGGGGAAGACAGACGGGACTGAAGGCTGTGAACTTAGATAAATGCAAAGTTGGGCAGGAAGTTATCTAAAGAGCTAATTAATACAGTCTGCCCCCAAAGTGTATATACACTTTAGCAGTTTACCACAGTAATGAATGTCTGAAAGCTGTTGACCACCACTTTGAGCACGTCTTGTGACTGTAAATGCCAAATGTAACGTGTTAGTATTATGATGTCTCAGTACATGTAATATGAAAGTATCTCTATGAGGTTTTTTTTTTCCTGATGTATATATTTTAGTGAACTCTATATTTTCTCTTTTATGACCACCAGAAAATCAAGGACAGTAAGACTTTAGAGTAGGAGGAATGTTTAACTCAGAAATGCTGAAAAAACAAGAGACAATGCAAAAGATACAGAAGCTGCTAGGAGAGTTTAAAAGAACAAATTCAAGAATCATCAATGTTTAAGAAGAGGTGGAGGTAGACACTGATGGTATAAAAATTATTCACACCACGGAAGGATATAAGACGTTATTTTGCAAACTTATTCTAACAAATTGGAGAAGTTGAAAGATATCCTCTATAATATGCAGTACAAAAACACACTACTAAGAAAGAGTTCAAAAAGTTCCCAAAACATGTAACTCAACAAAGGCAGATCTCAAAGGCACTTCAACAGATATTCAGACAAAAAACTTTAAAAACTAACAATTAAAACGATAAGATCAAAGAAAAGATAAATAAGTAATTGAATGAATCATTTACAAAGATGACCAACAAATTTATTTTTTTGAACAACAAATTTAAAGAAGATATAAATAACAGTCAAAAGTATCAGTCTCGCTGGGGAGATGGCTCAGTAGAATAAGTGTTTCCCTGGCAAGAGCAAGAGTCTGAACTCAATCCCTGGTTCCGAAAACAAACAAACAAACAAACAAACAAACAAACAAAAGTATCAATCTCTAAGATGATTAATGAACTCAAAGAAGCTACAAATAAGCAGCTGAATAAATTAAGAAAGACAATGCAGGATATAAAAGACAGTAAAGAAGTAGAAATTATGACAAAGAATTAAGCAGAAATCCTGGAAATGAAAATCTAGAATGTTTTAACAATAAATAAAGTCAGTCAGAAGACAGAATACCAGGATTTGAGAATAATCTGGATGAAGTAACATTTACTCAGCAATACTAAAAAAACAGCAGAGATGAAGAATAAAAGAAAGATGAAGAAGTCATTGATGGCATTATTGTTGTTGTTATCAGGAACGAAACTCAGGACCTTATCCTTGCAAAGCAAGCACTTGTGCCACTGAGCCATATCCCTGACCGCTTGGATGACTTTAAAATAACAAACTTAAGAATTATTGATCTTGAAAAAGGGATAGAGGCAGAGACTTATTGCATAAAATTTATTCAGTAAAATAATTGCAGAAGCTATTCCCAATACAGAGAATGAGAAGGATATCCAGGCAAATGAGTCATTTAGAATCCCAAATGCACATAACCAGAGAAGACCTTCTGCATGACATGTTGTAATCAAAATTTTAAATATTAATAGCAAAGAGTGTATTATAAGATGGTAGAGGAAAAATGTCAGATTATATAACTTCAAACCCACCAGAATAACAACACATTTCTCAACACAAACCCTAAAGACCAGGAGTCCTTGGAGTGGAAATTTCTCAGTCTCTAAAAAAAAATAACAACCAGCTAAGATTTCTATATCCTTTGAAATTATCCTTCAAATGGAGAAACAAAGACCTTTCAAGATAACTCAAATCACTCATGACTATGAAACCAGAATACTCAAAAGAATCCTAAACAGAGACAAGGAGATCCACACTACCCAAGAGTCTGCAAAGAAGGGTAAGCCTCACTGATAGAGTAGTTAAACAAAAAGGAAAAAAATTTAAAGGGAATCAAGCATTTACAAAACATACAGTGACAGGAATCAGTGTGCACCTTTTAAAAATAACATTCAATGTAAATGGTCTCAGGTTTCTAATCAAAGGACACAAACTGGTAGATGGGCTCAAAACCCAATATATGCTTCCCCCAAGCATATACCTCATCTATGGAAAACTCAGACAGCACAAAAAGACAGAAAATGACACTCCATGAGGCCAGAGAATGAATGCAAGCAGGTGTAGTAGCTATTCTAATTTTTTACAAAGTTGACTTCAAACCAAAACTGGTCAGAACAGACAAAGAATGATAAGAAAGTCATTACACATTGGTAAAGGGCACAATTTAGCAAGAAAATATACTAATTATAAATACACAGGCACTAAATGTCAGCAACTCATGGATAACTCAAAAACTACTTGACATAAAAAGATAGACACTAATAGGATCATAGTGCGGTTCTTTAATACACCACTCTCACAAATACAAAGTCAACCAGACCCATAATCAACAAGGAAATATCAGGCAGGTGTGGTAACAAACACCTGAAATCTCAGCAACCTCTGGTCCCAACTCAGACTGGATCCCATTAGATGACCTGGGTGCAAAGACAATGGTAAAAGATGCACTAAGCAAGGCCAGTTTTTCACATCGCATTCCTCAGACCTCTGCAGATTAAGGCCAGGGGGCACCAAGGGCTCAAGCGCTGTCTTGGACCAGGAGGAAGAGGCACCAAGAAACCCTACTACCATGCTCGCCCTGAGGGCCTACTGTATGGCAGGATCTGCAGTGAGGCTGTTCCTCCCCCTTGGCTCTGCCAAGGACAGCCAATGTGTGGCTTCCTAGGTTCAGGTCCAAGCTCTTCTATCAAGGGATAGTGCCTTGGTTTCCCTATGAGAAGGGGGATACTGAGCCAGATAAGGGGGGTACAAAAAGGATTCTGGTATCCCAGAAGGAGGCTGGGGGAGCAGGACTTACTGAACAAGGTGAGAGGCTTTGCTGAATGTGAATCATCAACTGTCCCTCAAGCACTGTCTCCTCTTGGGAATTTATAGGCATGCAAGAATCCTGGGAACACTCAGTTCCTATGTGATTAGGGATTATTTGTGCTGGTAGTGAGCCTGGGGCACTTCCTGATCTTGGGCAGGTGCTTTGTGTGTGATTGCTGCTGTTGCCTGAGGTCCTCACTGTTCCCTGACCTGGCTCTGTGGACTAGTCATCTGTGGATGACTGGTGCCAGGCCATCAGGAAGGTGGGTGAGTGCGAGCACCAGGCCACTGCAGACCCATCAGAGGAAGCTGTTGAAAGAAGACAATGAACTTACACATGTCAAGAGACCAGCACTGTGCTGGCCCATGGTAACCACTAAGAATTATCACCTGCCTAGATCAGGGACATGATTCTGCCATGGATCTGCCCTGGGGAGTCTCCTCTCAAGAGCGGCAGTGGGTGTCATTCAGTCTTTGTACTGACACAGAAGAAAGATAAAAGTTAGGTGCTGAGTGTCCTCTTAAAGGCCCTTGATTTAATTGGGAAGAAGCAATAATCCACAGCCCCATGACAAGAGAGCTTTCTTGAAATTGATGAAGTGCCCTGAGCCCTCATCCTTATTAGCATTTATTATGGCTTACATCTAGACAACCCCCAAAGGCTCATGGAGTCATAAGCGGAGTTTTCAGAGGTGGCTGGATCTAGGTTGTGTGTTTCTTGGATTAAAGGTGTGTGATTCCTAAATTAGTCTACTGATTGGCTTGGTAGATTTCTGGATGTGGATAATGAGAAAGCCTACCCCGGGAATGGGTGGCATCATCCAAAGGGCAGGTAGCTTGGAAGGGATAAAAGGGAGAGGCTGGCTGCTGCTAGTGGCTGGTACTTCACTACTGCACTGCTTTGTTGCCTTCTGCCCATCATGAACAGTTTCTCCTTTGTGATGCCTCTGTGCTGGCCACCTAGTCTTGTGGAAAGCTAACCATGGACTGAAACCTCTACAAACTATCAACTACAATACACTTTTCTTCCTCTAACTTTGAGTGTTGGGTATTTTGTCTTAGCAATGAGAAAACTCACTAAGATAGATTTTGATACCAGGAATGGGATTTTTTTCTATGACATTATCTGGCCATGTGGCTCAAGAAACTTTGGAACAAATTTATGGGAAGAGTTTGGGAAGGTTTAGAGCTGCTGGCTGAAGAATATGATCTAAAATGCTTTTTAAAATTTTTATTTATTTTTCCCTAAAACATTTAAATCTGTATTTGATAGGAAATTCTTATCAGAAGACCAAAATGCTGATAGAAATGCTCCTAGTAAAGAGGCTCAGGATCTTTTTGTTGAGAAGGAAGATGGCATTGTTTGTTGGTCTCCAGATCCTGTTGTTATGCTTTGGCAGAAAATTTGTCTGCATTTTGCAATTGTGTATAGGCATTTCCTGGGACTGACATTAAGGACAGTGGACTATTTAACTTGGTGGAAGAAATTTCAAGGCAGTCTAACACTGAAGCAGTGGCATGGCTACTGTTGGGAGCTTTTGGCCAAGTCAAGAATGAAAAGCAAGGATCAGGGAGATAGCTCAATAGAATAAGCACTTGCCTGGCAAGTGCAAGGGCCTGAGTTCAATCCCCAGTTCCACAAAAAAAAATCCTCAAAATGTAGGGCCAGGGGTACAGCTCAGCAGCATAGGCATGTGCCTGGCAAGTGCAATTTCCTGAGTTTGATCCCTGGTACCACAGAAAAAAGCAAAGACCCCCCCCTCCAAAAAAAAATTAAAACATTTTGAGTTTGGCTATAAAGGAAGCTCCAGCAAAGTTATGGCTTACAATGTAGAGTGGAGGAGAAAGTGATTGTCAAAAATGAAGACGACAATAGAAAATATGACCTGAACACATCACATGAACCAGTAGGACTCCAGTCTTTGCAGCTTGAAAATTTCAAAGTGAAAGATTTTGTGTTGAGAAGAGATTCCCAGAGTACCATGTTCCAAGATGGTGGCAGCATAGGGTATTTGTTCCTCAGGATTGGATTCATGGTGTATGGCAATCCAAGCAGCCACACAGCAAAGGAAGAAGGAATCATGGCTACTGTTCCAGATGGTGGCAGACATTGCTATTATGCATATTGTACTGATTTTAGATGCACATGGAATACAAGGACAGGTAGACTTCCACCCAGATTTCAGAAGAAGGTGTGGGAGATCAAAAAGTGTACTTCGTAGAGGGCAGTTGTTAAGATGTGAGTTTGAAGTCACAGGTGGTGTGGAGACCCCAGAAAGCAGAAGAAGCCAGGGACATAGACTATCTGAGGAAAGCTGCAAAGAGTGAGCAAAGCTGTCCAAAAAGGGAAGCTAGGAGCACTATAACCACTGGAATTCTTGAAGGGGCAGAGCTACCCAGTCAATTCATTTGGAGTGCACAGCTCGCCACAGATTGCCCCAGATGCTGGATGTGAAAATACAAGATTTACTGCTTACCCTGCTGGATTTTGATCTTGCTTTGTTCCCATTTCTTTCTGTTCCCCTTTTTAGACCTTTACAAATGGAAATGTCTATCTTGGACCATTGTATGTTGGAAGTGTTTAACTTTCTTTTCATTTGAGCAGTGACTCACAGCTAAGAGTTTGCCTTAAATCAGAGAAAAGACTTTAGATTTGGTCCTTGCAGCAATGCTGAAACGATTAGCACTTTGGAAACTCTTGGAGATGGACTCAATGTGTATGTCTTTGTAGTCTTTGTAGGGGGAGAGTCAGAGGCTGAGTGTTATGGCTTTGAGGAGATCTAGATGTCTCCTCTAAGTCATAAATGCAGTCATAAGTGGAGTTTTTCAACGCTGGCTGGATCAAGGTTTGTGTTGCTGAGAGTAAGGGTGTTGGATTCCTAAATTAGTTCCACTGGTTGGTTTGGCATAGTTCTGGGTGTGTAATGGAAAGGTGAACTCTGGGTGGGGGCAGAATCACCCAAAGTGCAGGTAGCCTGGAAGGGATAAAAGGGAGAGACTGACTGCTATTGTCCCTTCCTTGACACCTTTTTCACTTTGCTGCCTTCTGCCCACCATGAGCAGTTTCTCCATGTGACCCCTCTGCCATGCCACCCAGCCTTAGGACCAGCCAACTGTGAACTGGAACCTCTACAAATAGAGAGCTATAATACATCTTTCCCCCTTTAACTTTGGGTGTTGCATATTTTGTCTCCTGACAAGAACATTAACGAAGACATCATCTATACTGGTTCTTTGTGTTAACCTAAAAAGCAAACAGAGAGACCCTCATGGAAAACAAGTTTATTTGGGAAAAAATGGACTTTGCCATCAGGACACTGTGTTCTTTGCAGCCATGAGAACATTCCAGGGGGACATATAGGAGGGAGCTGTTGGAGGAAAAGGAGGTGTATGTATAAGTTGTTTGGAAACTCTGTGAACACTGATACTGGACCTCATTGCTGCCAGTCCCTGATATGTCAGGCAGGTACTGTAGTGCAGGAGTCTTCGGTCCTTCTGGTTTACACAAGAAGTTGGAACTACTTCTTGTGCCATTTCCTATCATCTGGAGAATAGTGCCCAGGAGCACTCCTGTTATGGCTTCCCTTCCCCCTTCCATTTTTCCAGGTTTGACACAAGTGACCCTGTTTTGATTCTGTTTTAACACTTATAAGACACATACCACAAACACACATATGTTTATATACACATACAGCACACAGGTGCAGACTCACACACACATACATACATACACACACACACACACACACACACGCGTGCGCGTATTGTAGTACTTTGGTTCACAAACTTAATTCTTTCCATGATTCTGGTCACAAATCAAATTTGGACAAGAATGAAATCAAACTTCCTCATAAGGTCAGAATTGAATCTACCAATTAAATTTGATTCTCATCCAATTCATATTGCAATCAGAATTGTGAAAAGAAATAAGTCCATATACCAAAACATGTAGTTATAGAGACATAGTGGAGGGGTGATCAAGATATATGGGAAAGACCCAGGCCAAGCCTAGGCCCAGTGAGTGTGTGGGAGGGCTTTTGTCCTCTGCTGCACCTGCTGGAACTCTCTGGATGAAGCCCACATAAGCAAGAACTTCTGGCACACTTTCAGAACCACTCCACCCCTCTGGAGCCAGCCCAAGTCTGCCTGGTGAGTGAGAACTTGTGCCGCGTTCTTGGGACCCCTCCAAACCAACCAAAGCCCAGGACCTACAAGGCTGTGAGAGAGCTTCTGCACTCCCCTGTGCCCCCAACCCCTCCAGACCCAGGCCAGGCCTGGCATATGAGCCTGGGGTGAAACTCTACAGCTGAAGTCACTGCAGAAAGACTAGGGGCTACAACCACCAAACCAATCCTGGAGCAGAGCATCTTGCCAGAGGAGCTCAACAGGTTCACTTCCAAGGGCTACAGCAGGAAGGAACTGAGCAAAACAGCCAGACCCAAGCCAGGAACAACTGGATGAACTCAAACTTACTAGATCTGCACCCGGATTTCAGGTGCTAAGGTTATAACTGCAACAAAGCTCTACACCAAAGGTCAGAGGACAGTGCTATACAAAATGGCAAAGAGAAGGAACAAAATGCAATTTCAGGCCCCAAGCCCACCCCGGACACTAGCATGGAAGAAACTGGGAATCACACAGCTGAAATATCTGAATCAATACTGTTTGAAGTGAAGAAACAACTGCAGAAAGGGATAGAGGACCACAGATCAGAAATAACCTCTGAAATAAAAAAAGAAATCTCTGAATTAATAGCATCTAAAGTAAAAAATCAAATGCAGAAACATATAGAGGAAATCAGATCATAAATAATCTCTGTAGTAAAAGAATTAATAACTGCTTCTCAAGAGGACAGGACACTCATAGGGCCGGGGAGATGGTTCAGTGGAATAAGCACTTCCACGGCAAGCGCAAGGGCCTGAGTTCAATCTCCGGTTCCACCAAAAAAAAAAAAAAAAAAAAAAGACACTGATAAAAAAAATAAGGGAGATTAGAAAAAAAGAGGGATTCCTTGAATGAGCAATACAAGAGAAAAATAGATCGCATGAAGCAGAGTCAAAGCGATATAGAGGAACTTAAAATCTCAATCACAAGCTTG